ACGGGGCTGCGGAAGGACACAGCTCAAACAAGGGCATCATGAACATTGCCCAGGCTGTCCAAACTCACATTATCATCATCATCATCCAGTGTTCTCGTCCACGGAGCCGACGAGCACCACATTCTGCCCAGGTGGCGGCAGCAGAGAAGCTGAGCTGCACGTACACAACTCACCCGGGCAGCACAGCAGAGAGGAAAACGTGATCAGAACAAGCTTTGGGCGCGCTGTTCCCATCCCATCCCCTCTACTGCTGTCCTCGCGTCATCTGAATTTCCCCAACCCCACGTTAAAGACAGGTCAGTGAGCTCATTCTCTACACCACCTGCACCTGCCGCTGTGATCACCCGTCATGCACGGACATGGCACTTCTGCAAAATTCATAAATCTGAACTCATCTTTAAAAATCCCACCACTAACTCATCTTACAGTACTTCGTCTCACATACTTAAAAAGATTTTTTTCCTAAGTGAAATGGCCCCAAAAGAGCCCAATGATTTTTGGGTTTTTAAAAAGGGATTCAGTTTAATTTAAAAAGGGTGAGGGGATAAAATGTAAACCGTGTGGGGGATCAGGAGTTGCTGAGATCGAATTCTGCACTGTGGGGCTGGGGAGGCCACAGCCAGGGAGAAGGCCCAGCTCCTCCAGTCACCCCAAACTCCAGCCGTGCTACTGGGGATCCAGGAAAGTCAGAAAACGAGAAATCAAAGTGGAGGCTCCTTTCTTGTGGGTGGGGGTGTTTATGTGCGCAAAGGTAGGAAGCCACTCCCCGTGGACATAAGGTACCTGCCTGTGGGGACCACATGTGCTCCACAGTGACGCTTGGACCCAGAGGTGCCCAGCGTTTGGACCTCAAGATCCCACATCTGTGGGTGGCCAGCAGGCCGGGCACTTCTCCACCTTCTTGGCTTTCTCGAGGTTGTCGCACTTTTCCCTGTTGGGGCGGCGACACCGTTCGTTGATGCTGTAGATGCATTCGTAGTGTCACATCTCCTCCATCTTCTCCACGGGGTAGAGGGCTTCCACGTAGAGACGGGCGAGCCTCAGCCGAGTGGGTCCAGATGCTTGTCGCAGGCCCCGGAATAGTTGTACTGCAGCCGGAGGTTCTCGGCGAAGTTGCCCACAGATGGGCTGTGCTGCACAATCTCGCGCACCTCCTAGTCTGACAGCAGGTAGGGAGAAAGCACCGGGAAGTCGGGGGAGGGAACCACCAGCTCGTCTGGGGGATCTTGCAGAAGTTCTTGCTGCTTCTTTCTGGGGGTAGTGGGGGCCCCTCGTACTCTTCTTGGAACCTCTCAGCATCGATTGCGTAGCTCGCCAGGTCCCCGCACTCGGGGCGCAGGACTCGCACCTTGCACTGCTGCTGGTAGGAGCAGCGCTGTTCAGGGTCCTGGCGCCTGCAGCGCTCGTCCAGCTTGCCCACGAACTCCAGGGTCCAGACGCGGTCATTTTTGGCCCAGGGGTAGAACAGCTGCAGTTGTACCGCTTGCGCAGGTTCTCGTGGGTGAAGAGCTCAGGGAAGAGGCGCACCAGCAGGCTGGAGGCAAAGTTGCCAATAGACAGGCTGCTCTGGTAGGTGCTGCGCAGGCAGTCGGTGCGTGGCACCTGGAAGTCGGGCTGCGGGATCTCCAACTTGTCAGTCAGTGGACAGCAGCAGATCTTCTTGAGCACTCGCCCTCAAAGCTGTCGTCCACCTTGGCCACTCAGGTGTTGTTCGGGAGGCTGGAGGAGTAGTAGCAGTCATCCCTCGGGGTTCACCCTCGCTGCCCGCCTCCAGGTCATCTTGGATGCTCTGGGAACATTGCTGCAGCCAAGCTCCCTCCTCCTGCATGTCGGGAAAGTAGATCTCCGCGTGGTTGCAAATGTGTGGGTCCAGCTCCCGCTTGCCATTGTCGCTAGCCCAGCTTCCGCGGTTCAAAGGGCTCAGGGAAGAGTGGGTGGAGGAGGAAGACAGCAAACTCACCCGGAGAGGAGGCTTCTTCCCGGAGCTCAGTGAGGTCCGTCTGTCCACCACATGGGCAGAGGTGATGGTGCTGCTGCGGTCCAGAGACAGCGCCTCCTCCTGGCCTTTGTTGTCCAAGAAGCGGCTGGTATCCACTTGCTCAGCTTCAAAGAAGCGGGGACCTGGCCTCCTGGCTGGCTGTCCTCTATTTCCTGCCTGGCCCAGAAGAGGCTGAAGAAGTCGTTCAGCTGCGGCAAACACTTGGCCGCCACTCCGCCGCTTCCTTCCTTGAGGGGTTCAGACCTCCACATAGTTGAGGATAAACTGCGGGGGCAGCGACTCCAGCTTCTGCTTGGCGGCAAAGCCGCAGGCACTGCAGCCTCGGGAGATGGCCGCATCGCTGAAGAGCTGGGGAAGAACTGTACCAGCAGCAGGCAGGCCAAGCCACCACCCCACAGGCTCTGGTCCACGATCTGCCTGAGCTCGGCGTCATTCAGCTGGTACTAGGGGGTGAGGGGGCTGGAATCTAGCCACCAGCTCAGAGGGGCTCACTTGCTTCTCCATGCGGCTTACCTCCAGGCACAGCGGGCCCGCCTTGCTGTGCAGCTGGGACACGTTGGACTTGAGCGTGTTAAGCATGAAGAACATCTTCTGGATCAGGGAGTAGATATTGGGGTCACTGTCGGTGGCCGCCCCTGTGCTACTGTAGGCTCGCTTTTGAGGCTTGTTCAGCAGGCGCGGCGGGGAAAGGCTGTTGCTGGGGTTTGGCTTCTCGAAGGGCTCGTAGGTGCTGAGCAGGTCCTCCAAGGGTGGGCTTTTCTTCTCCATGATCTTGTGGGAGACGCCATAGAGAGGCTTCTTGTAGGAAGGGGTGGTCGTGTCATTGCAGGGCTCCTCCCCACCAAGCCATACAGAGCCCACGTTCCTGCTCCTGCCAGTTGGCTCTCCGTTGCCCTCACAGGGTGAGCTGTTCTCCCTGTTCCACATGCCCATGCCCATCAGCAATGCCCCTTCACACCAAAGGTCAGCAGGGAGGCAGATGCTGTTGGAGATGCAGGTAGCCGAAGACCAGCAGAGAGTGGAGGCCAGGCCTCACCGTGGGTATCCGCCTCTGCCTCCTCACACTGGCGACCCTGACCGGCTGGCCGCTGCTGCCCTGCCACCGGCGATTGCTGGAGCCCTGGAGGGTGGTGGAGACGCTATCTGGAGGGTGCGGCCAGCAGTCCAGAGTGACATCCTCGCTTTCAGCCTCCACCTCCACCGTGGTGTTATTTAGAATTTCAACATCTTCTCTGGATTCAGTTGAGTTCATCTTCTATTCCACTGGAATGCGAGTTCCCTACTTGCGGCTTTTGTGTCCCACGTGTGGGGAGGGCGCGGGGTCGGGGGTGGGGGCACGGCGCCTGGGACTAGACCCCTTCTGAAAAACCAACCCCCCCTCCAAAGGCCCCACCCCCCTCAAAGACCAACCAACCAACCAAACAAAAAGCTATGTGGACACAGGACAACCAATCCCAAAAGAAGTGAGTGCTTTATTATTGTTTATTAGAATAGTAGGAGTCACCTTTGTAAAGAGAGATATGGTAAAAGGATTCTTAACAAAGCAATAGGAGCCTAATTACTTTAAGATTTTGTACTATCAATGTGTTGTATTAGTAAGCTTTCCTGTCTCTGAGACTCAATACCGGTACCCACAAATCAAAAGATAAGAGGTTTCAGGGAATTCATTCCACAGTTGGCTACTCCAAGATAGACACCTCAAGGTGGAGTGAAGATGTTTGGTTCACATTAGCCAGGAAGCAGAGCAGGGGAAATGTCCAGTGAGGAAGGGGCCAAGAACCATCTATAGTACCCAAGGGTGTGCCTGCAAGACCACCCAGAGCTGTATTTTACCAATCCCTGGGTGGCACCCAAAGCAGTTTGATACAGTTAATCTCCACATGTGCTTAAGAAGAATAAGCATGAAATGTTTTTTAAAATGGCTCATTCAGTTATTTTCCTGGTTAAGCTATGCATATATTTTAGCCACATATGTACTTTGATTCCATTTAAAAAATTAAAGTCAAACTCGAAATAATGCAGAATCAGATTTTTATAACTCTAAGAGAAAAAATAGTTGATGACTGTGCGGAGTGCCTTGGCACTAACAAATGATTTCTAGAAACAAGTTATAAATTATCTTCTTAATTAATTTAGACTTTGAAAGCAATGCTTTTACATGTTCCAAAAACCAGAAAATATTGAAAAGCTTCTACTCACTGTTCCTCCATTTGTCTAGTTTCTCTCAAAATAAGTAAAGACTCTTACATTTTTTTTATTCTTGCAGAAGGTGATAAAGATAAAAATCTAACAATTTTACTCCATTTTGAATTCTATTTTCACTTTTCATTTATTCATTAAAAATGCTCTTGAGTATTATTCCATAGCAATACATTTTGAACTTACCCATTCTTTCATAAATACCAAAATTTCAAATGTTTTTGTATGGTTGGATACTAAGATTATTTTCTTTTTCCTATTTGGTGCTAGGTGTGGAACAAAGGGCCTCATGCATGACAGGAAAGTTCTGTTTCCACTCAGGTACACCTCTGGCTCATGAGTATTTTCATGTAGCTAGCAAAATAGCACCTTCCGCTGGAGAGTTAGGTTGTGTCCCTAAAATAAAATACAATATTTTGCTGTTGTAGTTCTTAAACTAGTATGTGTACTGACTAAAAGGTGAATGCTTCAGTAATTTTGCTAAATTGTTCTCCTCACTACTGGAAGCCTGGTGGTTAAAGAACCATTGTACATACACACAAACTTTACACCATGCTTTGAAAGGTGGCAGGATGGAGAAAGAAAGGACAGCTGGGTGCATCTACTGTCTTTTCTGTATCAGGTAAGGGCTAGCTGCTCAGTAGGCATATTATATAAGGATGAACTTTTAGTTGTTTAAGCCCTTGTCAGTTGATTTTTAAACTATAAAGCTTAGCAGAGCCAATAGTTATTTCAAACTTTCTTACTGAAGGGTTCAAAAAAATAGGCATTTTTCTGAAATCATTGTTAAGCATGCCAGTATTCAGCCAGGTGTCCCTCTGTGAATCAGCACAAATGGACTGACAATCGCATAAGCAGGGCCCAGAAATTCGTGAACATTTACTGCTAAGAAATCTTTCTCTGAGGAGGCAATTATATATAAAGAAATAGCACAATCTGTCCAATAAAAGAAATGAAAACTCAGCATCAGAAGGAGAACACTCTGCACGGCTTTGAGCTCAGGGGGAATTTTGTAGACCTTGTTGTTCTGCAGGTAGAGAACCCGCTGGTGGTGTGTGTGGAGAAGAAACACCATGTAGCCACTGGCCCCACCCATGACACCCAGAAACACAGTATCTCTCAGACCCATGAGAATTAGAAAAATCCAGTTTTTTCCCTGAAGTTTTAGCATAAAATAACAATTCGGGTCACTTTTACTAGTTTGTGATGTGTTCTTGCTCAGGACAGAACGGATCAGGTTCATGCTTATCAAAGGGTTGAGAATCCAGAAGAAGAAAAACAAGGGTAGAATGTGCCATGGATCCTTTAGTTTGAGCTTCCTCCACCTGGAATGCCCCGGACTGATGGTGATGGCCTGCACCCCTGTGAGGAGAGCGATGGTGCAGATGGACAGGCCCCGGGCCACCCTCTCCAGGTATGAACCAATCTTACAGCTTGTGTCACTGAGGAAGTTTCCTGAGCTGAATACTGCCATTGTCTTTAGTACTCCCTTGGAGAGAAGCATGATGATATTTGTAAAAGCTAAGTGAATGAGAATAAGATGTATAGATTTCTTCCTAGGTTCCATAATGAACATACTCATATAATTTACAAAAACAAACATATTTCCCACTGTGCCAAGTCCAGTTAGAAGGATGAATATTGTTATTTTGATAATGTTCAAAACCATTTCTAACTTGTAGGACAGAAAACCTTGGATCTTTCAAATATTGTTTGAAGAAAGAATCAGTAATGATGATAATGTATCTGCAAAATACATTTCATAGCACAGCGTATTTCTGGTATATAATGGACAGCTTTGATACATGCAACAGAGCAGACTTTTGTCCAAAGAATATTGTTCCTTTCCCTGGCACTTTTTCTGGAACATTCTGCAACTTTACATGCCATCTGTGGAAGAGGATATAAACATCTAAAGTTGTAAAATAGACTTTTTTGTTACCCATACTAGTAAAACTTAACAGCCTTTTAAAATTTTTACAATCCCTTATATTTGTAGTGTTGTGTGCTGAGTTAAACCAAGAAATTCCTCCAACCTGAATGTCTCTCCCCGACTTTTTTTTCTTTTATTTTACTTAAATCTATCATATCGCCATCAGCCAATTCCAAAAGCCCGGGGCTTATTTTAAATCCTCTACCTCTTTCAAACCCAACATGTAGACACTTGTGATCTTATTGCTTCAAGTTAGACAACTCAAATTTAGAGACATTTTTTCTTCTGTAATTCCTCTTTTTCAAATATATCTTTCATTCTGATTAGCATAGCAATCCCTGGTTTGTGTCCTGTTACCAAATTCTCATATTTTGATTAGACCTTTCTGTTCTAGAGTTGTCTTTTAAAACCTTGAGCTGATTCTGTGACTTCACTGTCTACACATTTTTGGTGGGTTTTCCTTGATTTTAACATGAAATCAAATAGCATAGTACTTCACTGAAGGCCCTCCACTGTTAGTGCTTAGTCAGAAAGACCTCTGGAATAAACCTTTGGTCTGAAAATATATCTACCTCATGCAGCTAGGGAGGATGGCAGGAACCATGAGATGCTCTCTAGGAAGGTCTTAGGAGCAGTCAGAGTTTACACCAAGAGACCGTTAGGAACCTCTCAGGGAAGCCCAGATCAGTTCTGGCTGTTCTGTCCAGGGAGCTTAGGTGTTGTGTGCTCTCATGAGACAGAAGTGGTGTATGAAGTAGGACTCCCCATTAGTAACTGTATAGCACAGTGGGAGATTGGTAAGAAAAGTGTCATCACTCAAAGAAGGGGTCATGATACAGCTGCTGCATAGCCATGTTTCCAGTTATCTTTGTAACCAGACTCACCTCGTCTGTTCTCTCAATCTTTTTTTTTTTTTATCAACAAGGCTGCTTTGACTTTTAACAGTACAATTTAATTTTTTTCTTTTTTGTTGTCAAGATTGCTTTTAAAAAAGGATTTGAGAAGAAAGACCACGTAGGAGGTAACAACAAGGGTGACTGCCTCTGAACTGGTGCTGGAGAAAAGCAGATACCCTGAAGTGAGAGAGAAAGACAAAGTCTAATGTGGGAGAATGAATGAAAAGAAAGCCCAGCTGAACTAAAATCCAGTGCTTATAGTATATGTGAAGGGAAACAGGACTACTCCTGGATTGGGGTACCTTGGCCTCACTCCAGACCTGCCCTACACTCCATCTCGGGAGAGGATCAGACTGAGGGAGGAAGCTGGCCCCTCGGTGCTGGCCTGGCTAATTGAATAGCCTTGCAGTTACTCTGAGGCCCCCACAGGGGCATGGAGAAGTGAAACATACTCCACCCAGGGATTCAGTGGAGCTGAAACCAAAATAGGGCCGAGCAAACTGCCATGCACCCATGTACCCACCTCCTATAACGAGTTGCACTCCAGTGCTGGTGACCAGTGGGGCTTACCCCCATCTATCAAAAAATTTCACTGGAGCTGGCAGGTGGCAGGGCTTGAGAGAAAAGGCTTACCTGAAACAGAAGGAAAAGTCACCCACTTCTCACTTATAACAGGAGTGCCATACACAGGACATTCAGCACCCTACCCATGACTGCAGGTGGCTCGTGAAGGGGACCTCTACCCCTGTTAGCTGAGAACTGCAGAGGAAAGGGACACTGACAAGAGCAAAACAGAGGAGAGATAACAGGAAGAAGGGAGAAGTTCAAATACTTCTTCAAGGGCTGGGGATTTGGCTCAGTGGTTCCACCTTGCAAGGACCTGAATTTGATCCGTGGTACAAAAAAAAAAAAAAAAGCGAGGGGGGGATTGGATCAAATACTTCTTCAAGGGCTGGGGATTTGGCTCAGTGGTTCCACCTTGCAAGGACCTGAATTTGATCCGTGGTACAAAAAAAAAAAAAAAGCGAGGGGGGGATTGGATCAAATACTTCTTCAAGGGCTGGGGATTTGGCTCAGTGGTTCCACCTTGCAAGGACCTGAATTTGATCCGTGGTACAAAAAAAAAAAAAAAAGCGAGGGGGGGATTGGATCAAATACTTCTTCAAAAAATATTCCATTCCATTGTCTTTAAATATTTTAATACAGATGTTAATTGTTTCATTTATATGAATAGTTAATCTTAGTTTGGATTTGTGTTATTATTAGTATTTTTTGGTGGGAATCTTTTTGGTTTTTGAGTTGTAAATACTTTGAGGATAGTGATACCCAGTGTAATAACCAGTTATTCTTTTATTTAATTAAAAAGTTCCTTTCATTTTTTGACTAAAAATACTGATTCTGTGACAAGTACAGTGTGAAGTCCAGCAAGGGAGATCTGTAAAAGGAGAGCAGCTTCACAGAGCCAGAACATAGTGGATGCCGTTCTACTGTTTCTCCCAAAGGTGGACAGGCCTGGGACAGTGTGAGATCTGCCCACAACTGTGCACTGGCACAGGGGTCACAGCTGGCCCTGGGAGTGGCATAGCTCTGCCAGCTGGGTGAGGCAGATAGACAGCTGTGTGCAGAGAGACAGTGAGCAGTGCTGAGGACTGTGGGAATCGGTGAAGGGAATTATGGTTTAGCGATAGTTGAAAGAAATGTATAAAACCTGATTTCACAGACAAAGAATTGTCGAGCAGCATTGAAGAAGGAATAAAGTGCTTTTCGTCCCCCAGGCAGTCTCCTTTTCTGTCTTTAAAAGTCGGTGCTCTCTGGGGTCTTCGGTCTCCCTCTAGAGAGAACAATGACAGAGGACGGTGGCAAAGATAGCTGTGGAGGGAAGACACAGGCATTGTGATATCCATGATCCCAAATCAGTTAAGGCCCTAGATCCACGGAGGGCAGTAGGGGCCATGGCCAGAGCACAGCCTGTAGCCAGGGTATGTTTGGAGAGAGCAGCAGCCCTTGTGGATTCAGGCAGGCAGTTGTGTGGTCCATGGGGGACACTGCTTGGTGCTCACACCAACTGAGGCCAGCTTGGAGGGAGCTGTGTAGCAGCTCTGGGCTGATGCTGTGACAATATGTGCAGGTTTTTATTCTTGGTTCTGCTTTTATTTCAGTTGTAGTTGTGTTCTTGCTTTCTTTTTTGGAAGTGGGTCATCTTGGTTGTTTTTTTTCTTTCTGTTTTAGTTTTTTCTTTTTTTCTGATTCTTACTTCTTTATTGATATTGTTTGGTCATTATACTTTAACTTGTAAGGTTTTTCCCCTTTGACATTAGTTTTTTTTTTTTGGTACTGGGAATTGAACTCGGTCCCTTGTGCTTGTGAAGCAGGCACCAGAACCACTGAGCTAAGTCCCTGGCCTTTAGTATTTTTGATATATTTTGATTTGTCTATTCATGATTTTTGTTCTTCTTTCTTCCTCATTATCTCCTCTCCTTGCTTTACTCATCCTCCTGTCTATCTGTCTAATGGCATCAATACACCAGAGGCCTGCACAGTGCACTAGAGAATAAGAATTAACCAGTGCCTTAAACTGAAGAGTGACCTTCAGGGGTGTTTCAGGGTAATCCTAAATAAAACAGGGCTTAGAGGCTCCAAACAAAGCCACTTAGAAATATATGAACAGATTCTGACAATCTCACAGCCTGTCTCCATGGCTAAATACATCCTCACCCATCTGCATACCTCCTCCTACCTACTACACACACATTCTCTCAGACTCCCTCAACACCAACCTTTTATGTCAGCTATAGAGATAATTCCAATGGAGTTCAACTTCCTACCTTTTATCAACAATATTTTATCTACCTCCCCCTTTCCACTCACATACCTTCCCCCCATCCAAGACAGACCATAGATAGCAGTAGAATATAATCTGTGGTATTGAGAAAAGCGTAAAATTATCAAAACAAGCTTTAACATCTATGATTGATGTAAGCTTGGCTATGTGGATGCTATTTTAATCAGTAGAAATCCAGCAACAGTTAAATTGAATACATTATAGTGGTAAAATATACTTCTGGACAAAGAAAGCCACAAACACATCACTGGAGAGCAGAACTTTACCAAAGAGATCCTCATATCAACCACAAACTCTCTTCACTGTTTAAACTCAATGCTCAGCACAAAAAATAGGGACATGGAAAAGCTAAGCAAATATATGCCTCCAAAGACTCCCAACTTTCCCAAAGCAGACCCAAGGGGGCACCAATGCAGAGGCAAGCAAACACCACACAGTTGAGCTGTAAGAAATGATTATAGATTAATAAACAAACTTGGAGAATTCAAAGAGGATATAATCCAAAAGACAGTGGAACTATCATACAGGCTGACCAGTATGGTTATAGTAGAAACCAATAAAAATTGAGAAGAGCTGACCAAAATTATTCAAAATATAAATGACAAATTTACAAAAAATTTTAGAAGACTTGATGAAAAGGTGACACACAATACTCCAGAGATAAAGAATTCTACAAAATTTATAAACAGCAGAAACAACCAATGTTAAAATAAGGTTTCAGAAATAAAAGAGATGATGGAAAAAAATGATGATTTACACAAAGAAACCTGAAAAAGCATAAGAGAGCAGTAAAAGTTTTCCAGCAGCTATTAGATGATACTAAGAAGATAAATACAGGGCTAATTGAAATTAGATAGAAAGTAGAAGACAGCACACATGGAATAAAAAATCTGTTTACAGAAATCATAGCAGGAAACATGGAGAAAGAACTCAACATACAGGTAAGGGAAGCTTACAGAACACCATAACTGTGATGAAGAAAGAAACTCCCCATTACACATCAAGTTCCCAGATGTCCAACA